CTCCATTCCCCGCCGGCCCCCGGCACGGGAAATCGCCGCTCCGGGGAGGAACGGGAGCTCCGCGATTAACGAGCAGGGGCCACGGCCCCGTGAGCAGCGTCGCCGGAGAGGGGCAGCGTCCGTCCGCTTTATTTTCTGTCGTGGGTTGACTCGGGATGGCGAAAAGCAGGCTTGGAAAAGCAGAAACGCGCGGCAGCCCCCGGGGGCTGGATCACAGGGAAAACTTTGCACGTTTGCGCAGAGCAAGGGATTTGGCGCAAGGCAAAAATGCCAGCCTTCGACAAGCAGCGGATCACAGGCAGAGAGTACAAGCACAACGGATACGTTCAGCTAGACAACAGCCTGATTCATCCACATACTACCAAACAATACCATTCCCCCTGCCGTGCCATGAAAGCAAGGGGTTTGCAGCACGTCTGGCCCCTGACCTAGCACAGGGCTCCCTGCGCCCTCCTCCTCCTAGGAGGCACTCCCCCCATCTCAGCATCCGCCAGCAAAGAAGCCTGCAAGTCAATCATCCTTCAAGGAGGAGGATCGCTGACATGTCTCCCGTCTACTCGCCTTTAAGCTGGCAACGCAAGAGAGACACCTATTCATCACGCTGCCCTGACTGCCCCCGTGCCACCTTCCATGCGAGTTAACTGCAGAGGACAAGGCTGGGGGACGCACAGGCGCACGCACACACGCTCACACACAAAATAAACCTCCTTGTTTCCCAAAGAAGCATCGGCCAGTTTACTTGCCAACTCCCCCAAATAAGAACAATCAACAAACATATCCGTTTGTGTAAAGGGAGCACCACCTCCAGGAGCTATCTGAGGCACTTCCATTTGCATACAGCTGATAACCTGCCCGTTGCTACAAGACAGCAAGAAGATCTTTTTTGCAAAGGCTTCGCATGCAGCACTTTCCCCATTACAAAAATCTGCTCCAGCGGTCGAGTGCGTGTGTGCGGTGGTGGGGAGTTGGTTTCTATTGTTCATCAGTAGCTGCTGTGAAAGCAGCGTGCCCAAATGGGTGTTTATTTCCTTTTTTTTTTTTGCGTTTTTCAGGCTCTCTTTTCCCAAGGTTTCTCCTAGTGAAGTGTTCCTCATTTTCCTTGGGAGAAAATAAAATGACCCCTGGAGAATAATATTTCCTTGCGTGCATCTCCCTCCACCATGCGCTCACACCCCTGGTCTCCTGCAAATCAAAGCTGCACTTTCTTAGTTCCTAGCACTTCTTGGCTAACGCTCCCTTTTCCCTTTTCTTTCCGTCTTAATAGAAGATTTCTCCTTAAATCTGAGCTCTTCTCCACCTTCTGCACAGGCAGCCCCAGAGCATCCCAGTGTCAATTCCCTCTTTTCTCCTCTCTACCCCAATTCCACACACAACTGGCTTTGCCATTTTTAATTAGAAAATGTGCCTGCCAAGTGCAGAGGTGCAATCCCGAAGAACTGCAATCTAATAGAGTTGGAAGATGCCTTGCCGATAACCGCATTTTCTGGCTTGCTAACTCATCTTCTGCTTTTATTCATTTACTCAGCGAATGATACCTCCCCCCCCCCTTGATTTCAGTACATAGACCCGAACAGCTACAGGCGAATACATCCGATTGCAAGCACGATCAGGTGCAAAAGAGAACGTGAACTAACCCCCATCACCACCACTGTACACACACACACACGTATTATGTCACCTCCTTCCACAATTTCTCCTTTATTTTTTTTACAGATTTCCCTCTTTTCAGCGCTCCCCTTCCTTGCCAAGGCTGCCCAAGGTGCTTCTAACCCCGCTTCCCTCTTCAAATCTGCGAGAAGTGGCTGCAACAGCTCCCACCGGCGAGCAACAAAAACACCAGACCCTCAAAACACACCGAGATCGGGGAGGGCGAAAAAAAGTCCATCCGCACACGAGCGGCAGACCCGTCGCCTTGGGTCCCGCAGGGAAAAAAATCACCCCCTGTCCCCAGCGTGCAAAGGCAAACACGGCAGAGACGACGACTTACCGGCGACTCGAAGATGCGGGCTGAGCAGCGTAAACCCGAAGAACAGAAAAGCCAGCTTTGGTACCCAAACACATCCGAGACTATTCTCCATATTTCAACACACACCTACGGATGTGGGTCCTGAGTAAGAGCAACCACCACACATGCACGCCGAGCCCCTTCTGCCTCCTCT